ACCTAGTTCTCCCAACATCATTTGTTGAAAAGACTCTTTCTCCATTAAATGGTCTTGGTATGCTTATCAAAAATTATTTGACCATATATTAAGGATTTGTTTTTGGGCTCTACAGTCTATTCCAATGATCTAATGTCTGCCTTCAGTCAGCACCACACTCTGGATTACCATGGTTCTGTAGTAAGTTTTGGAATCAGGAAGTCCAACTTTGTTCTCCTTTTTAAAGACTGCTTTGGCTATTAGGAGTCCCTTGAGATACAATATAACTTTCAGAATGAATTTTTATTTTTCTGCAAAAAAAAGTCATTAAGTATTTTTTATAAGGATTGCTTTTAATCTGTCGATTTTGTAATCTGTAGACTTTGGAAAATATTAAAACCTTAACAATATTAAGTCTTCCAATTCATGAACACAGAATATTTAATTTGTGTGTCCTTTAATCTCCATTGGGTATGTTCTGTAGTTTTCGGTGTATAAATCTTTTGCCACTTGGTTAAGTTTATTCCTAAATATTTTATTCTGTTTGATGCAGTACAGATTGAATTTAATTTATTGTATTGCTCATTGTTAGTGTATAGAAATGTAACTTTTTTCTGTTTTGATTTTGCATTCAACTTTGATGAATTCATTTATTCTAAAAGTTTTGTTTCTTTTTTGTATGGAATCTTCAGGGTTTTCTACATATAAGCTTATGTCATCTGTGAATAGAGATCATTTTACTTCTCTTCCTATTTATTTATTTATTTATTATTTTATTTTATTTTTTTTACTTCTCTTCCAATTTAGATGCTTTTTATTTCTTGCCTAATTGCTCTGGCTAGGACTTCTAGTGCTATGCTGAATAACAAGTGGAGAGAGTGGGACCTCTTGTCTTTTTCCTAATCTTAGAGGAAAACCCTTCAGGCTTTCACTCTAAGTACAATGTTAGTTGTAGTTTTTCTATATATGGCTTTTATTATTTTGAGGTAATTTCCTCCTGTTCCTAGTTTGTTAAGTGTTATTATCATGAAAAGTTGAATTTTGTCAAATTTTTTTTCTGCATCAATTTAGATAAGAATATTTTTTTCCCCTTAGTCCTGTTAATGTGTTATATTACACTGACTGATTTTCATATGTTGAACTTTCCTTGTACTCTTGGGATAAATCCCCCTTAAAGCGTGTATAATCTTTTTAATATGCTATTGAATTCTGTTTACTAGTATTTTATTGAATATTTTTGTATCAGTAATTTTAGGAGTATTGAAGAGAGGCAAATGATGGGCCAGGAACAGATAGATGTCCCATAATAATGTCAATGTCAGTGTCAAAAAGAAACAATTCCATAATGTTGTGTTTAAAAAAAAGAAAAAAAAGTTGTAACCAGGTAGATTTTTCTCCTTATACCCATTGCCTCTCCCACAATAGAAATTTTACCCCTTCTAGGTTATTAATGTTCTTTTAAAATTAATAATTTCAGGCAAATTCTAACTGTTCTAGTCCTAGTTATTCATTAGATCTCAAGTCTACAATCTGTTTGTTCTTTTTGTCCTCTATAAATGCCACACAGTCCAGACTTTGCTCCTATAGTCATCCAAACTTGGACTGTCTCTTCCTCATGTAAATGCTGTTCATCTTTACAGTCCCTCATGAAACTCCATTGCCTTATAGATTTCATCTCTGAATGCTCCAACTTGGACTGCTCCCTCTCATCTTTGGATTCTTTGTACAGGCAGTTATACACACTGGACCATTTATCTACTTAAGAGAGTTGAGCAGGATCCCTTTCGGCTGACAGGCAGTGGCTCAAAATAGTATCTACACTATCTTCTAGATTAAGAAAAACCAAAACCAAAACATACGAGCAAATTCTTGAGGCAAGACATTGCTATTCTAGGAAGAATGCAGAGGCCAAGTAACTAGAAATGAGGGATCAGGAGAGGTCTTAGGGGTGTCCACAATGGGGAGCCAAGGGAGGGAAGAGTAGGAAGGAATGAGGGAAGGCCTAGGGCTGAATATTTGCCCAATTAATAGTTTTACCAGGGACCCTGCTCTTCCCATAAGCATTACTTTCATCTCAGATTTCTACTTTTAATATTGCTTTAATTTCATGTACCCGGCATATGAAATCAGATCTTCTTGGTTGTATGAAGATGAACTCATAATTCTGTGTATGAAGTAATGTGTTGGCTCAGTAATGGTTTTTTTTTCTTCTTTCTGGAAAAGTGCAAACCAAGAATTACAGGAAGTAGGGTCTGATACGAACTTTCTCACCTAATTGGCATATTCTGCCCTTTAATCTACACTACAATGAGAAAAAGTTTCAAAGATTACTATAAAATAGGATTAACCTTATAATTCTAATTAAAATATATCTTTCCAAAATAATTCTTTAGAAATGGCTAGTGAAGATGATCTATATTATAATACTGGAGTTTGACTAAACTTCAAAGATAAACCTAGCACAAAGTCTGAAGGATACAGTTTTCCATTTCTGGACTTTACAAATAATTTAATGATATAGTGAAAAAGAGGAAACAGAGAAGCAGCTTGTCTGGTCACCAAAATATAAAAGGGCTGGAATATATTTTTAAAAATAGATGTAAATACTTAGCTTTCGTTTCTTTTTTAAAAAATACATTTTAATTTTTAAAATTTTTAAACATTTTTAAAGGTTACTTTCCATTTACAGTCACTACAAAATATTGGCTGTATTTCTCAGGTTGTACAATACATCCTTGAGCGTATCCTCCACCCCTGTATTGGCTCCTCCCTGACTCTCCCTACTTGGTAACTACTAATTTGGTCTTTGTATCACTTGTATCTACTAGTCTGCTTGGTTTTTTTAATATCCACTAGTTTGTTATATTTTTTAGATTCCACATATAAATGATATCATACAGTATTTGTCTTCCTCGATGTGGCTTATTTCACTTAGCATAATGCCCTGCAAGTCCAAGGACACTACATAATGAAGAAGCTTCCACTTTCTGTTCTTGGACTTCTGACTAATCTAGGTCTCTTTCCATTTGTCTGCTTTCCCTCAATGGAGTTTTACAGCTTCATCTGTTAGTTATTTCTCTCATACTGTAAATGTTACCAGGCTTAGGAAGAGACTGTCTGGAACCATTTTAGTATTTTTCTGCCCAATTAAGGTACACTCTTGGGCAGAATTTCTGAAGATCTCTCATCTTTCTATAGGTATCTGGTCATCGACAGTTCTATTTCTCACTCACCTTCCTCTGTGGTCTTTCCTCCCAAGAAGAATCTGCTTCAGTCAACGTTCTTGAACAGGTGGTCATGTCCAGCTTAGCAACAGCTCTTTTAACTTGTACTTCCTTAGGTTCTATTACATGATTTGAAGTTGCTTCAGTATTTTCAGCATTTGCACTGGATGTGGGCTGACAACATTTGCTTAGTGAAAAAAATTTTTTCAGGCTGCTTGTGCTTCGTGTTGGTTTGGGAGAAACACCTTTGCTTTCTACTGGCTTCCTGGCTTCTTTCATTTGATCCTCAAATTGTTCTAAGTATTCTTCTTGTACAATCTCTTTTAAAACAACTTCATCTTCGTCAGACGTTAGTCCCTCTTCTATGCTACTTCCTGAAATTTCTTGATCAATATCATGAGCTACTAACCGAATGATAAGTTCTTTTTTGTTCCGAACATCTTTTAAAAGCTCCACCTTGGTGATATCAGGCTTTCTTATATTCTGAAATGAATTTCTGCAAACAACCTGAAATTGAGGGTACAACGAATATCAAAAACAAATGCCTCAATCAATTTCTCCTGTGGTTCTACTGTAATATAGCTATTTTAGTATGATTTCTAGCTTCAGTGTAAAAGTAGTATCTTCAGATGCCACTTTTATATTAGCAATAATATTTAAAAAAAGAAATGAAAATCATGTATTTTACCAAAATTCTACCATGTACTATACCAAAACTATGTATTGGTATCTATCAGTTCTTTTACTTTCAGGCATTATTTTATTAATCTACCATAATTTATTCCAGAGCATAAAATTTACATTTTATTTTGTTTTTCATTTACTTTGAAAGTTTTGTGACAGAAGTAGACATGATAATATGTTTTCCTAAAATTGTTGTAGCAAAACCTAAATATACATATCTTTGACAAAAAAGCAAGGTATTATCTGATCTTGACTTTTAAAAATGATGAATAACCAACATTTGAAGGTCTCTGACTCTTTAATCCCTATCCTTCCACTCCTGATCCTTTGGACATATTTTCCAAAAGAATTTTCAAAACACAAATCTTCATTTTCTTCTCACCTCCCTAGTCAAATCTCAGTTTCCATTTACAGTGTCCAAAGACAGATTAAAAACAAAAGACAGTTATAATTAAATAACAGAACTTCCCCATTTCAGTAGCAGCTGATGATGCCACCAAACCTCCAAATTGATTTAATAATCCTAGACTTCAATGTTCCTTTATAACATTGTAATCTGTTTTTCACATATTGGTGCTCTAAAAGAGTATCTTCTGTGGAAACAAAATATAGAAACAACCTCCTTAAGGAGTTTTTTGATTTTCTGTGTTAGTAGAGAACTGGTGGTTTAGAAAATCCAAAATCATTTTATGTGGTTTTGGAATTTGTTAGTATATATGGTTATAATATGTATATACCTAGTGTGTTGGGAATTTATGATATTTCAAAACAGAAAATGAATTCCCGAGGTGAAGCCAGTAAGTGTCTAGGTTCTCTGATCTAATCTACTGTTCTTTAGTTAGTCTCTGTCCCTGTTCTGGAGGTTGACAGCATTGGTACCCAGATTGGTACAAATCATATGTCTTAACAGAGTTCTCTAGGTCTGTTTCTTTGTGTTTTATTTTTAGGTGAGATTTTCTTCCCCTTAAGAGGATAGAGGTAATTATTTTGGTTTAAATATACTCTTCCTGCTTTCTGTGGTCTATCAATAACTAAAGAGAACTGTTAACTAAAGGTTTATTATTTGTGACAGACAATTCTATAGATAATTAAAAACTAATTTTGACTAACGTTATTCTATAGTCTGTTCAAACAAATTGTACTCCTAAGGGGTTACTTATATATGCATGAAGATACCAAATAATATGCTAATACAATGACAGGAATCCATATGGAGGAGGAAATTTTAGAGTTTGAAAGGACTATCATCTGGCCCAAAAATTTAGGGCAAGTAGTATGTCAGTCTATAAAAATCTCAATATTTGGGTATGAAAACATAATGCACCAATTAACATATTTAACAGCCCTGGAACCTAGTTCAGTGGGTTGCAGGACAGTGCTGGAGAAAATTTAAAGTTTATGCTCCAGGGAGAATAGTTCTGTAAGAATTTGCTTATTGCTCAGGCCACAGATTATATCCCTAAACTCACTCAGTTCTCTTATGAGTGAATACCATCAATTAGCACCAAGGGGCTTTGACAAAAATCAAAATGTGCAGTGAATCAGTGTAACTGTATTGGGCAGACCATCCCATTGTCCTCAGGGGTATAGTTTTGTAACAAGGACATTGTTTTGGCGTTTTAAGGTCTCAGTTTAATATATTCGGGGCTTGAGTGTGGAGCTTCAGGGCGAGCTGGGGTCTATAGCAAGAAGAAACATGCTCATAACTATGCAGCATTAAAACAGCTAGATCTAGAGCAAGGACAGAAGCAGACTTGGTGCTTCTTGAGAGTGTACAATAACTTGAGGAAAGCTAATATAATTAAAGTGAAATAATAAGAAACAACTAATCTGAGAGTTTGTAGTCTAATGTTTGTTGATGAATGTTGCTAATGAGAGTAGCACTGCTGCTGTACAGACAGCAGCTTGAGAAATCTATTTTAGTTTTCTAATTTCAGTCAGCCTGATTTTACTCTTAAGGGTGTCTGTATCTCCATTAATTTTTTAAGCCAATTTACTTTTTTTTTTAATTGATTGTCTTAGGAAAATTAGCCTGAGACCTTTAGAGTCTGCCACATCTAACTATACAGATGGACTGGTGGACCCAGTTTTCCTATTGGGCTGGTAGTAACAACAAAAATATACATTCTCATCTACCTATTTGAGGAAGAGAACCAGAGAACAACCATGTCTTACTTTGTTTAGCTTTTGTTTTTGCACTTACCTCAAAGGGTTTTATATCTAGTCGTCCTGTCTTACTCAGTGAGGTACGTCTTTCTCTCTTTAACTCTCCTACAGCAGACATTTCCGACGAGTAGTAACTTCTTCCACTTATTGATGCTCTTCTTAGTTCTGCTATGCTGTGTCCAGTTTTTTTTAAACATTCCATCTTAAGTTTCTCAAGAGGTTGAGTCTTTACAGAAATTACTGCTAAGTGTTCTGAGATAATGTTTGGATCTATTTTGATTGGTTTATCCCCAACATATGGAACTATTTTAATTGGAGAGTCCTCTACAACTGAATTTTTATCTGACTTTCCTTTATCTATGTGAGGGATCATTTCAACAGCATGCTCTTGTGCCTTTTGAACAATTCTATCAATGTCTAGATCTTCATAGATACTAACACTTGAATTCTGTGGACTACATACATCTAAGGGAAAATTTGAAACTCCATTAATAATTAAACTAGCCACTTTTTTAGGGAAAACTCTGTTTGCATTTTTTATATCATAATAAAGTTCTTGATGGGTTCCAGATTGTTGTAGTATATTACTGTAAATCGAATCAATAACCTGAGAAATCATTTCTATACTTTTTGTATTTAAAAAGCGTTCTTCAGGATCAGCGGCAATAAGACTAATATTACTTTTGGAAATTTCAGCTGTCACAGATTTTGTCAGTTGAGATGCAATTTTATTTAATTCAGGCTTTGATAAGTTTTTCGCATCTTTGCTTGAGGCACTTGGCAACCTTACTATTTTAGCCAAGAACAAAGCCAATGCTTCCTCTAAAAACGTGGCATCTAACAAAGAACCTTTCTTGGATGAAGCTTTTTCCTGGGACCTAAATTCATCAACAATTTTGACCACTTTTTCCATAATTTTTACAGCTTCCAGAACTAATTCTGAATTTGACAATTTTTCCTCCACTTGAGGTTGAAATTCAGAATTGGAAATTTCTTTCACCATTAAGAAACCTATTATATCAGAGAGGACATTACTCTTACCCATTAAATCTTTAAATATAGACATGTGTGAGCCAGAGTGTTTTAAAACACTGGTATAAACAGAATTAACTACTGTTTCAATAGTTTTGTTGTCAGCTAAAGGTACAGCAGGCAAGTCCTTCGCTGGTGGTAAAACTTTAATCTTACTTTTCGAGATGAATTCTTGCATTGAATTTAATATTTTTGAGGTTATTTTTTGCATTTCAGTTTCTAGAGATTTGGGTTTTTCCTTATCCACTTTTGGAAACATAGTTAAAAGCTTTGATAAAAATTTTACAGCAATTTCTTCTATTATGTTGTAAGGCAGTATATGAGCATGTGATGGTTGAGGCTGGGGAGCATCAGCAGTTTCGATAACATCCTTAAGAATATTTTCAACAACACTGTCAACTTCTGCACACTGATACGGGGTGAGCTCTCCAGAAAAGTAGTTCTGCAGCTGATTGCCAGCCACTTCTCGTAGAATTAAGTCAACTACAGTTTCTGAAAGAATTCTACATCCACTGGCTACACAATTTTGTATAATCTCTTGTGATCCAAACTGAGACAAGAGATTATCATAAAGTGACTGAACCACTAACTGAATAATTTCATCATCATTGGGATGTAAGGATTCTACATACTGAATAATCGTATCTTCGTCTTTGGAGATCTCTGCTGTAACTGTACTTAATAACTTCATTTGAAGGAAATCTAGTTCTGCAGACCAGTTGCCCTCAGATGCTTCTGCTTTGGTATTGGATACTGTTGAGAAAATTTTAGATAAAAGAGCAGAAATCACATTCTCTAAAAATTCATGAGGCAGCATGATGGTATATGGCGATGATGTTTGACATTCTTTGCTGGCCATTTGAGCCACCTTTTGGATCTTTTTAACAACATCCTTAGTTTCCAGAGGCAAACATGATGAGGCTGGTACTTCATCACACAGTATCAAATTAAGCTTATGTTGAAAAATTTCATTTATCACTGCACTAGTTAGTCTTCTTGCTAAATCCCCTGTATTACTCTTTATATTCTTACAAATGGAGCCTTGAGATGTATATTCTTTCAAAATATTGCATACAGAGGAATGAACAACTTTGCTGACCAATGTTTCATCAATGGCAGAAATTTTATCTAGGAAAGGTATCTTACTTGAAGAGGGTTTTTCAGTTACTTTATGCATATGTGGCATTTCATCCACAGTTGTTTTTTTAATGTTGGATGATGCTTCACCTATACTTGATTCTTTATGCCTGGGTGGTTCTTTAGAACTTGATGACACAGGTGGAAAAAACTGATTTTCTTTATTAGGCCTAAATACCTTAATTTGAGCATCTGAAAACTCCTTTAGCAGTGAATCAATAAGTCTCATAGCTGTGTCATAGAGTTCAGCTTGATTTTCATCATCACTTACGCTTTGACATGTATCATATGTTTGTGTTTCTGTTGAGGAAGAAAAGATCAATTTGTTAACCATTTCAGTGATTACATCTTCTAAAAATTTAGCAGGAAAAATTCCAGGTTTACTTTTTGGTGGGTACTGAGGACTGTCTAGTTTACTAGGCTCATTTTTAATCTTCTTAACTTCCACTTTATCTCTTTCTCTTTTTTGCCCCCTTTCTTTCTCTTTGTCCCTCTCTTTTTCTCTTTCTCTTGTTCTCTCTCTCTCTGTTTCTTCCTTCTCTTTGGCAGAGAGATTTTTGATAATTGAAACAGGCTGTGTAACATCCTTGCCAACCTCTTGAATTACAGGCAATTTTGTATGACCTGGAGGACTTTGGAGTTTTGAATAATCTGCTGATTCTTGAGAATGATATATTTCTAAGATATTTTCATAAATATTTTCAATGACATTTTGAACACTTTCATAATCTGAGTACTGTCCCTCATTTGTATTTATTTGAACTGGAGTGTCTTTTCTCTCCTCATTGTTTGCCTCTTGGGTCACTTTCAAAGTTTTCTCTGTTGTGATCCCTGTATTTCTCACTTTGGATGTCAAAGGAGGTAACTGAAAGGGCTTGTCTTCTTTTTTAAATGGATTTTCTCTTGTTTTATCATTCTTCTTTTCATGGTTTATTTCAAAATATGATCCAGGTATTTTCTTTTCACATTCTGTATCATTAGTAGCTACTAGACATTGTGTGTGTACCTCTTTACCTTGTCTCTCCTTATCTTTTGAAGCTGATATGCTCTTCTTCTCAATTTCATTATTTTTAAATGTTACACAGGAGCCAGATTTGAGAATATCTCTACATTTCACATTAGTAGTTAGAGAAGTAACTACTGATACATCAGATTTTTGAACTGAAATTCCCATTTTATTTTCATTCGCTTTCTTTTTACTTGCCACACCCACAGCTGACCCTGATACCAGGTTATCCATATTGCTTTTCATAATTCTAGTTACAGAAGTAACTACTGAATCTTGGATGTCACCTTTTTTCATTGATGTCTCCTTAGTTTTGAAACTTTTATTTTTACTCATTGTACCTTTATCTATTCCCAAAGTATCCAACACATTTTTCTGGTCTGAGGTTAGAGAAGTGTGTTTGTATGAGTGTTCTGGTAAAGTAAGTTCGTTCCCTTTTAAACATCTATTTATTGGTGTAGAGGTTTTCTGTGGAAGGTGTTGAACCCTTTGGGTAATGTTATCTGGATTTAGAAATGAGAAGAAGGTGGAAGACCAGTCTCCTGAAAAAAGTGGTTGAATTTTGAACACAGAGATTGCCTTCTGGGCTAAAGCAGCAACCATTTCTATAACAATGTTATTTTTTTCATCTTTCTGAATATCATTAGATCCATACTTTGCTATGAACTGATCATACACAAAATTGGATATATTGTCAACTGTCTCTTTATCAATTGGTGGAAAAGAAAATATTTCTTCAGCTTTTGGTAGAACTTTAATTTCACTTTTTCTAAATTCTCCTATCAGAGACTTTGCAAATTTTATAGCCAAGCTCACAATGTCTGGCTCTGGTGTTTCTGTTCTCTTAGAATCTTCAGCAGTACTTGGAAGAGAATAAAACTTGCGAACAAGGTCAACAATTACATCTTCCAAAAATGTAGCTGAATATAAAGAAGACTGTCTCTTTTCTTTACCAGGTTTACTAAGTACAGAGACATGGTCATAATTAGTTAAGTTACTAAAAGATGATTCTTCACCATGTAAAAATGGCTGCAGGTGATGATCCATGATTTCCTTCATGATGAAACCAGCTATTTTACTGAGGAATAAGCCCCCTTTTTTGTCTGCATCTTTCTCAACTTCAGCTTGAAATTCAGATTTTTTCAAAATATTACTGCATATAGAGTCAACCAAATTCTCAACCACTTCTGACTGCATACTTTCTGCATTCTCTTCTGCTGTGGCAAGATAGATCTCATGTTCAGAAATTTCTCTGATAATCTCATCAGTCAGTTTTGATGCTGCATCTACAAACTCATAATCTGGTGAAACCTCTTCCTCTTTCATTTCACTTTCACTGTAAGTTGAAGGGAAGATATGCACTAGAAGCTTATAAATAATATCTTCTAAAAGAGAACGAGGCAGGACAGTAATGCATGATGGCAAGGCATGACTGTCCCTCATGATGACACTGAGCACATTTCTGATGATGTTATCAGCTTGAGGGGAAGAATATGAAGAAGACACTAATTGTCCTGAAACTAATGACTGCACCTGATAATCATAAATTTCTCCCAACAGCAAATTATATATTTTTCTTCCAAAACAAACAGTGTCACTTTGTATAGCCCTATATATTTGAATCAGAGACTTATATTCATCTAGTATTTTTTCATAAATTAGGTTGACTGTTTTATGAACCATTTCTTTATAGCCTTCTGAAAAAAAAATATCACCATCATAGTTATCTGCAACTAAAATCTCTGATGTGCTGAACTCCAGAACAATTGATTTTACTAATGTTGTAACAATGCCAGTAATTTTGGCTTTTACAGCTTCTGGGTTTTCAGCAGCCAAGACATTATGTGAGAATGCATAAAGGAGTTTACATAAAAGTTCAGAAATTACTTCCTCCAAAAAGACAGCTGAGTTCACGATGCAAGACAATTCTTTTTGTTTAGGATCTGCTGCTTTCTGTTTACATTTCTGATCAACTGCAGCTGAAAGCAGAGATTTATCTCTAGATAAAAATGACTGAAGATGATGGTTAAAGATTTCTTTTATTATAAAACTTGCTATTTTTGAAACAGGCATATTACTTATACCTTTTTTATCTTTTGTAAGAGACTGGTATATATTTGTATATGAAAGATCAGCATAAATGGAATCAACCATAGACTGGATATCTTTTTCTGAAATCATACTTTGCTTTTCATTTCCATGCTTAATAATACATATTGCATGTTTTGAAATTATTGACATGATTTCATTTATCAGCTTTATGACTGTATCACTTAATTCTGATTGAGAAATATCTGGGTGTTCTGCACTGTAGGCCAATGGACTCATCTGAGATATAAGCTGAGAGACAATTTTTTCCAAATGAGTATGTGATAACATAGTAGTATATATTGTTGAAGCCTGTCTTTGGAGTCTGGATTTAGTAATGTCACACTGAACTTTCTTTATCAAAACATCAGTACTAAGTTTGGAGTGTGACCTAAATGGAAGCTTTTCTATAAGATTTGGATGAATTTGGAAATCAAAAGTTTCAGCCAGGATGACTTTAGTTATCCTTGCAGCCAATGTGTCATTTAGAAAATCTTTATCAGGCATTATTTCCATTTCATATTCTTGCAAAACTTGGCTGTACACCCTGTCAATAATGTTTTTGACTGTATCTCTCTCCACTGGAGGCAAACATATTTTTTCCTCAGCATTCTCTAAAATGCTAACTTGGGCCTTTGAGAATTCCTCTGTTATCAAATGTGTGAGTTTTTCAACTTTATGAAACAGTTCATTTTCTGAATCTTTTACTGATTTTGTTTGTACAATGCCTAACCCCCTGTGGAATATTTTGCTTAAAACCCCAGAAACTACATCTTCCAAAAAAGTTGAGGAATAAACACTGGCATAAGACCATTGCCTTCTCTCATTGCCAAAATATGTGTATGATGAAGGTAATGACTTTCTGTCCACAAATGGCTGAAGATGCTGTTGACAGATATGTTTAATGATAAAACCTGCTAGTCTATCGATAAGAACATCATCACTACTTGTGATATTTTGCTCAAGTGATGCCTGAGATTCAGAGCTTTGTGAAATATTTTTGAATACTGAGTCAACGAGATGCTGAACATCATCTTCTGAATAAACAAACTTGGTTTCTTCTTCATCTTTTGAAAATCCAATTTCATGTTGGGAAACTTTCATCCTAATATCACTGATTATCTCTGAAGCAATTTCATTGAAATTAACTCCTGATCTATCTTTTGGAGTTTCTCTGTCTGGAACAATGCTGGATGCGGAAGGAAAGATTCTAAATAACAGTACTCTGATCATGTCTTCTAAAAACGTGTATGGCAGCAAGGTGTTATACGGAGATAAACTCTGACTTGGGTTGGTAGATTTACTGATGTTACTAAGAACGTCTTGAATGATATTCTCCGCTGTTGAAATAGAGTATGAAGAAGATGACAGGTCCCCAGAGAACAGTGGATGAAGAAGGTAATCTGAAATAGCTGCTACAACTAGGTTCGTAATTTTTTCCACAAAAACATCACTGACTTCAGGCTTTTTATCAACCCCGGGGTCTAGTCCGTGCTGTTTTAAAACATTTCTATAAACGGAAGTGACGAGTTCATCCACAACATCTGTATGCACAGAAGGGTAAGACTTTCCTTTGTCATCATACAAAAGGTGAACTTCAGTTTTGTCAAAATGGTTATTTATTGAATTTACTATTTTTTGGGTCATGTTTCCCAACTCAATTTCAGTGTTGAACTTTGGACTGAAAATCTTTGATAAAAGTCTGGCAACAATTTCCCTTACAAAAGTCTCAGGGTAAATACGCAAGGGTGAGGGTGTCTGGGGTCTGTGTGACTCTATGACTTCACTGAGAACCTGTTTAACCATATTTGATATTGCATCGGATGGAGTCTTTGGACGAGGCAAACCTTCTCCACACAAAAAAGGCTGAAGATGATTTTCAATAATCTCCTGGATAATAAAGCTGGCAATTCGGTCAACCATAATTGGGCTTCGACTGATTATACTTCTCTGTACTGAAACAAGAGAGTCAGATGTTTGCACAATATTACTATAAACAGAATCCACCATCTTCTGGAGGTTTTTTCCAGTACATAGAAATTGATTATCATATATAGTGAACCAAATTTTATGTTTTGAAATGGCAGATATAACCTTATTTATTATGCAGGTAGACATTTCATTAAAATCTGAACTCATTAAATATTTTTTTCCCAAAGAGGAAGCCTTACTGGGTGGAGGAATGAGCTGAGATAGAAGTCTTCTGATGATATCTTCTACAAATGAGTGTGGTAACATGGTGCTATAGCCTGTTGAAGACCTGTATTGGGAAGTAAATTCTCTCAGGTTATTTTGAAGTTTCTGTAATATAACTTCAGCTCTGAGAGGGTAATATGAAGTATGTGAGAGCTTCCCCCTGAAGCAAGATGGGAGTTGGTAGTCTAAAATCTCTAATAATATGCTGTTAGTTATTTGTTCTGCTGTTGAAATACTGTCACATGCCAGATTACCACCACAGGTCACTTTCAATTCATATTGCTGTAAAACATCATAATAAACTGAGTCAACAATCCTACTAACAATGTCTTTGTGAACTGGTGGAAAACACAACCTTTCTTCAGAATTCCGTAAAACAGTGACTCCTGCATTATTGAACTCATTTACCACACTGTTGACAAATAATGCATTCAACTCATTGAGCTGGGCCTCAGAAATGTTTTCATTTTTGACCCACAGTGAAGTCGAGAGATTAAAAAACAGTTCTGAAATTATTTCCTCCAAAAATGTGGCTGAATAAACACCTGTATTCATATCTCCTGGATAAAGCTTATTATGGGTGGCTATTGTATCCATATCCTTCATTCCCTGTCTTTTAAAAGGTGACACATTAGAGGGAGTTACTGAGTATTTCTTGCCAAACGGTGCTTGTATTCTGGAGCTAACTATACTGGGATTATTCAGGGATGCTGTCAAAGCATTGCCGTAACTCATGAGTCCTAAAGAATCTTGACCTTGTCCTAATCCTGTTAATTCTGGTCTTTTTGCTTTCAAGAAACTAGACTGTATTTCTCTTGTTCTATGCTTCAAATGCTTGTTTTCAAAAGGTGGACTTTGAGGGAGTTGTACACTGTGACATAGCTTGTCCATCAGTGATTTAACCAATCTATGGGAAATAATAGTAAGCATAGAATCTGATGACAATAAATCTTGATCCATTTCTGCCATATTTTCCAAAATGTCCAACACATAATCTCCTTGAAATTGTTCACAGTCCATCACTCCCTTACAATAATCAAATTTTTCATCTTCTACACTTTGAAGTATTTTGAAAAGTTGACATTCTCCTGCTGATATTTCTTCAGAAAAAGGGCTATTATCAAGAAAGACAGAGTTTGTGCATTTTTCCAAAAGTGTTCTAATAAGTTTCTCACATACAATATTGAGTAGAAAAACTGATTTGGGGGTAAGCCCTAAGTTATTTCCAAGTATACTATTTTTTTGCCAGTCATTTGATGATGAGAAAAATGTTTTTGCTTTTTTATCACAATCCATAGCCTCACCTGAGTGTTCATCTGGTAAAAATAAGTCCAAAACAATATTAAAAACTTTGTTGACTACTTCTTTGGATTCATGAGTTTTTAGGCTATGAGCCAGACTATCTAATTTATATGCCAGATAATTTAATTTATTTTTTTGAATGAGATGTTCAATTTGGTGAATAGATGATTCCTGTTCTCTGGAAGCTTTCTGTCTTTGCATGGTATTTTTTTGGTCACAAATGGGCACATGATTGCTTCTAAGCATGGGGAATGGTATATTTCTTCCACTATTTTCAATGTGATGATTTAACCCTATTTCCTTGGACAATATATGAATCACTCCTATTAAGAGATCCTGAAAGAGATCATCAAAATCTGCAGAAGCTACTCCTGGGCAGTAAATGTACTTCTTTTTTAATGAAAACATTTGCTGTGCAGTGTCAGCCTTTATGATGTTACTATTTAAAAGGATTTCAGTAATGGTTTCAGAAATACTTAAAGCAAGTTCGCCAATAGAAATCGACTTACTCTCAGACACTTGAGAATCAATTGAAATAATCATGTTAAATGCTGCATTTTGTCTTTCCCATGCTTTCTCTTTTTCTTGGCTATCTTTGGTACTATCAGGAATGCTTGAAATTAAATGGCAAATAACAGACTCAGTGAGATGTTCACAAAATTGATAAAGGGAAGAATCACTGCATATGCTTCTTAGAGGCTGTTTTGATTCATATTTTTTCCTTGACAGTGTGGAAACAATAGACACCTTCTCCTCCCTGGAAACTTAACAAAGAAAATATTACCATTTTAGCATGCATTAAGGGAAATATGGAAAATTCAATATATTGGTCATTGTTTACATATGAATTTCACCTTTGGAACACCTCATTGGAAAAAAAAAAGGAAAACCTAGTCAAGAAAGATACTGGGTTTTCTTCAAGTAGTTACTTCCCACCTATGGAGCCTTAATTTTAGCCATAAAGTTGAGAAAATACTGAAAAATTAAAATCTCTAAGTCACAAGCTGATACCTGTCTTGTTTACATGGTTAAAGTGCTCTAAGATGTTGGAAATCCTGGCACAGAGAAATGATTTCCAAGATTGGTGTTACATGTTAGCATGTCTGCAGTGATCTCTACAGACCTCATCTAGTTATTTAAAAAATGTATTTAGTCAAAACATTTGATGTTGTGTATTACTTTCAGAAAGCTAAAGGGTCGTGTTGCAATAACAATCTGAAATAAACATGTCCTCACTCCACAAAGGTTAGGGATAAATTGTAGTGTCTGTAGTAGTTTATCCCTGGGTTAGTTTGTATTAAAGATGATGGGCCAACCCAGCCAGGCACAGGACTCTCTTCTTTCTTCTATTCAACAGACTATCACAAATCACATACCTACTTGGGATGGCCAGTTTCTCAGAATGGTGACCAGATCAACATATTTTTTTTCTCAAAACTTCTTCAGAATTTAATAATGTGTTCTATACCTCTGCATGTAGAATCAGGCAAGACTCTGTGGAGAGGGGAGGCTTTAAGCTGAGCTTTGATGGCTAGACAGGCTCAATATTTGGCTATATTGAAATGACAGGAGGAAAGAGTGATCCACATAAAAGGAGGGGCATGAGTGAAATCACTGGAAGGCCCTGGACATATCTCGGAATAGAAAATAGACTTGCTAGAAAGAGACAAACACTGATAGGATGGAATCATGAAACTTCTCTTGCTTCTGCTGTGTTTCTTTATTCTCTAAGTTCAATTAGGCAATACCTGGAGAACGTCTGTTTATGACCTTGCAATTGCAGGCACACATTTGTCCACCATAAAAGAACACCAGTTTTGAATATAGAAGATAGCCTTGCTGTGCAGGTGGATAGGACTGGTAGGATGTATTCTGTTTGAATGATGGGTAAGTGATATATCTGGACTGGTGAAGTAACAACTAAATTACTGGTAACTAGAATTACCGATCCAGTTCAAAGCTATGATATTCAATTGAATTTTACGAGGTTTCCAATAATCAGTAGATTTTGATCTACAAAAGTGGCTATCATATATGGTTCAACCTGATATATATAAACATTTTTTAAAAGGAGTGAAAGTATCTTTGTAAACATGTTTATCTTTGTAACATATTATTAGGAATTTAATAATACTGGAGTGCAAACAAAACCAGATGTTTTATATTACTGCTCTTATAAACTGTGACTAATAATGGCAGACACTTCAACTGTACACGTTGAAAAGTTGAATCACTAACCTTTAGTTAGTTATCTGTACATTTGGTATGATTATGAAGAAGCCATGTATGAGAACTCTGAACTCTTTGGGACTTATACCTCATGTTGAACAAAATCCCCTGGTTTGAAATAGACACATTTTCTCCCAACTGCACATACAGAAAATTGAGCAACAGACCTTTTCAGATTCAAACCATGTTAATATTTAAACTTTTTTTATATCCTTATATATTAAGAAGTAATACCCTACCTCCAAGACTGTTCTCAGAAAAATGGTAAATGCAGGTTCTTATACAGGAGATCATTTAAATGTATCTATTTTTTCTAAATTATGCCCACTTCTAAAGTAGGTTATCTCTTGCTTACCTCTAGTTTCAAAGTTCTTGAAATACATGACCACAGATGTGGTGACGTGTCTTGCTACCAGGTGAATTTCATTTGGACCCAGTTCATGATCAGCAAAAGCAATGACTTCAACTTCCTTCAGAGTCTTTAACGTAGGATAATTCTTACTTTCCCACTTTTGCAATAAAGAAATATATCCTCTACTGGCTTCAGTTTGTTTGTATTCTTCTTCAGGTATATAGCTGATTCTTTTATCCCACATTCTAAGCAAACTTTTCTCCTCACTCTTTTGTCCTCCAGATGTTACAGACAAAGGGTTTTGCCTTGATATGAAAAATGGTTTCATTGTTTCCATGCTTTCATTAAAGTGTGGTTGACCTGGAAAGCCATAGCTTGACAGAACAGTATTGACAATATTTTCTGCAGCTAAACATATTTTGAGTGGAGAAACAGTTGTCTGAATTTGGTTTGGCTCAACAACTGGTTTGGGGATCTCATAATGAAATACTCTTGGATTTGCACCTTTTCTCATTTCTATGAATGACATGACTTGCTTTAATGCTGCTTCTGTGGATTCATTTTCTTTCTTTAACAGTTTTTGCAAGACAGTGCCTTCAGGGAGGGAGCTGTTTCCTTTCATAGCTTGGTCAAAATAGCCAAAGTCAGATTCCCTTGGGTTATAGTCTTGTACTTTGTTTCTAGAGCATGATGGTGTATTTTCTGCAGCAGACCTTTCCATTGGCTCTGAGCTTTTAATTGTGTCTTCCACAGGGGCTCTGGCATATGAAGGTAAATTTGATGAAGACTTATACTTTTTTTTCATCTCTTCCTCTGAATAGAAGTCCAAACCAGGTACAGTGATCTGTGGAGAATTATTTGTAAAACTTGCTTCCTTTGACTTTGACATGGGTGTTTTCACATTAGTGGCTAATTCAACCTGATTAACAATGTAGGTATTTTCTACTCCTTGGAACAAACTTTCCTTTGGAAGGTTTTTGATCAGAGACTCACTGAAATGAGTACACTGGTCCATCAGTGTTCCAATGATCTCACTTGCTGCCATGTTCTCTTTCAATATGCTAGTTGAAGATGGCTCTGCTTGGCTTATTTCTTTGTCTAACTTGTTTTTAATTATATCAAGCATGTCACTGACAATGTTAACAGCATATGTAAGTAATTCTGAATGGAATGAATGAATCTGTAGAAGGGTATTCTGTACATTTTCCTTGGAAGTAACAGTACTTGACTTGGATTCATCAGAAAATTTTTTTAGTGGTTGTAATTTTGGCAAGATATTTTTGCTTAATAGTCTCTGTTGGATAGGAAAAAGGTTTTCTATAGGCATTTTCACTATTTCAGAAAACTCGTATTTAGAGATATGTTTAAACTGTAAGTCTACAAATGACTCTAACACATTTAAAACCCTTTCTACAATTTCTCGAACAATTTGGTTGCTAGAGTCAAAAGAAATTTGGTCTTTTATCTTAGTGTTATATAATGGTACACTGCTGAGGATGTCCTTGGTTGGAAAGCCATGTTTACTTTTAGTAGTAATGTGTTCTTTCCTACATTCTAGAGTTTCTTTACTGTGTGTGGTGGGCATCTGGGACAGAAAGCACAGCTGTAATTTTTCAAACAGCATTTCAACAATTTCCCTTCCAAACATATTAATTTGTGCTTTGGTGTCTTCAGCTCTAGAAGAAGCTCCTTTAAAATAACTATGAAGCCTGCTTTCACAATCCTCAAGATGTGGCAAATCTAAAAGTGAAAGAGAATATTCTAATTCTTTTGCCTTTATTGAAACTTCAGTGAAAACATTTTCAGCTATCATCAATAGCTTACATTTTTCATTTTCCATGCCATTTGATTCTGCTTGCCATTTGTCAAACATTTTCTTAAATATACCTTCTTTAGGAAAAATCTGTTCTAACTGTGAAGAAACATTTTCCAAGTAAAAACATGCTTGTGGTTTGGCAAGAGACCCTGCATCTATAGTCCCCTGTGAAAGTTTGGGATCATCCAGATGTGAGAATTTGATCGGATTAGCCAAACTGTGGTTATTTGTAGCATTTAATCCTTGCAAAACTGTATTAACTATTTTATTTGCTGCCATGATTTGATCAGTTGGTAAAGCTTTAGCGTTTACCGTTTCTCTAGCTTGCTTCACCTTTTCAAATTCTTTTGCAGTTGTTTTCAGGATATTACTTATTATATCCTTGGCATACATTTTTAGTTCTGAAGCAGGTAATTTTGTTTCCAGTAAGTTTTTGGCATCTCCCATTGACAGGATTTGTGGCAGCCCAATGGCAGTCTTGGACGAGCTCTCTTTTGGAGTCTTCTCTCCAGGACCTAATTTGGTCTTGCTTTTGGTCTTAGCATGACTAGTTTCTACGTGTGGTTTTGTTCTAAATTTAGGCAAAGGAGTAACTTTCGATCTTGCTTTTAAATTCGTTTTAAAACTCGGCTTAGGACTCCCCTTAGGGCTCACTTTAGAACTGTGTAGTCTTATAGGCTGTGACTCATCAGAACCACCTTCACGGGACAGCGTCTCTTCTAGATAAAGTGAGGCAAAATTTGTGATCTTACTGAGAACAACTTGGACTAAATCCTTACCCATTTGCAGTGGTGAATATTGTAAAAAAGATACAGAAACATTTTGATTGCCTGCATAGGGATAAACCTGTGGTAGCACATATCTAGTGAGATTACTTCCTATTCCTGCTTGTTTAGTTTCTCTGATGCATGATGGTTTCTTGGGTAAGATATTTTTGTCATCTGCTTCTACTTTATTACATTCCTGTAATGTTGTCACAACTACAGAGTACATTTTCTCCAAAACACTTTCAATTATGTCATTCGCTACCCTATTAATATGTGACTGAGAGAAATTTTTTTGTGTTATAGCTGATGTTTTAATTTTAGAATTAGATATAAAGTGAGGGATTGCTTTAAATGAAGGCAAATAGCCTATGATTTTCATTATTCTTTGATGCACTTTATTTAAAACTTCTTCCACTGCACTGAATAATGCAGTTCTTTCTTTTTGTTTTGATTCTTCATTTCTCATAAATATTTCTTCCAAAACAATTACCTGGCTTTCTGTTTCCAAAGCCATTTGGTTTTGCTCTAATAGATACTCTGAAAACAGATGTAGTTTGTCTGTTTTTTCCTTATCTCTTTGTCCCAGAGATACTTCATTTGATACAGTTAGTTGTGAAAGTAAGTTAGGATTGTCTTTTGAGTAAAAACTAATTTCCTTTAAAGATCTTTTATCATATAAAATCTTTAAGATACTGCTGACATTTTCACTCACAGTGATGTTTTCTTGGAATGAAATGTTGTTTGGATGTGGATGCATCTTTTGGATTTCAAGGTCTAAGTCATTTTTAATAAGCTTCAAAATGGCACTGGCAATGAAATCAGCATATTCCTTAAGACTAGATTGTGATAGGTGAATTATGGATCCAAGTTTTTCTCTGTAACTGGCAAAAGTGGAACCTGTGAGCTCTTGGCCGAGAATAGTTTCAGTTGATATTTTCAGAATATTCACATTTGATTCCCCCTGGCTTGATTCATGAAAGATGCTGTCATCTTGTTTACAGTTTTCCAGTTCCGGGCTCATAAGTGACTTTTCTTTAGTCTGGAAAGTGAGATTAATTAACGAATCTATTCTTTCTGTGGCAAATGATTCTAACCGATTGAAAATAGTTTTAGTAATAAAGTCAGCATTTTCCTCACATGAGTCAGGAACAGATTTCTTGGTGTCTCCTCTCTCTCCTACAGTTATCTGACTATCATTAGCATAAGCTGATTTCAGATTTTTTGAAGATGGAAAATACTCTGTTTTTCTTTCACTTTTTGAACCCATAAAAAGAGGCTGTTGACACACTGCTTTTGGAAACATATCACAAAAGGTTAAGGGCAATCTTGCAGAAGTAGAATCTTTTGCATTTATGCCAAGTATGACTGGAGAACTGAGATTATGAAGAACAATATCCACCATGTCATTGGATATCAAAGTAACATCTGATTTAGGAACTGAATGTTTTGGAAGAAGCTGATTTTCACCCTCAATGGACATTTCAGAATTTGCTCTGGAATGTTTACCAACTATGCTACATTTCAAAGTAGGCGTGGCAAATGAGAGATTATTTTGATACAGTGTCTTTTCATAAATATCACATAAGATACTTTCAATGGTATCCTGTATTTGAAACTGAAGTGCCTGTCGATATGCAGTCTTACTAAACAGCTTTTCAATACCTTCTTGCTGATCTGAATCAGTCTCTTTGCCAGAATTGTTGTCGTCACATTTTCCTTTAGATGATATAATATCTAACACTGTGTTAACAATCTGACTTGCAATACTTTCAGAAACCACAATGTTACTAGTTAAGAAAGGATTTTCCCTCTCTTTATCTAATTCATGTTTGATTCCTTGTAAAACTTTTCTGGCCACTTCTGTTGCATATGTATTCAGTTTATTCAGAGAGAGTTGACATGATGAGTTGGTCTTTTCTGACATAATATGATACACTGAGCAACAGGAAAATTGATCATCAGAATACAAATCTTTGGCTGAAAATGCTTTGCTTACTGTACTCTTATCCTGCTGAATAGGGAAAGCCACTGGAACTGTGAAGTTTATTTGGGGAAAAAAGAGAGAGTTTACTTTAGAAGTAGCAAAAGCTTCTAAATTTGTTAATATTGCCTGTACAATATCTTCAACTATGTTTACTTTAGCCTGTTTGTCAGCACTGAATTTGGACTGAAGAGTGGATGGATTCTTGTCCGGCACTGTAATGGAAGGCTTTCCTCCTCCGAAGCTGTGGTCATGAAAAGAAACATCTGCTGAAAAGGTGATGGTTTTATACCTACTTTCACTTGCATTTCTCTCTGTCATAGTCACTGAATAAAGTTTATGAAACACAGTTCTAACAACATCATCTGTCACTACAGTTACGTCTGCTTCAGACACGAAAGGACCCATCATTTTATCTATACATTGAACAGATGTTTGAGCAACTGGCCCATCGACAGTCTGAGGGATGCCACCTGAATAGGAGAGAGAGAGCACATTTAACTGACTGACCAAAGCACTTTGAAAAATTTCATTCAAAATGTTTCTTATAATGGGAATGACTGGAGATTTCTGTGGTTCTTTGAGTTTCACTTCAATTTTGTTTAAAGTCCTTTCTAGAACCCATTGTTGAAGAGAATCTGATTTAGTTTCTTCTCTTAGTGGTGTTCTCTCTCCAGTGAATTCTTTCTCTGTATTTGCAGTATCTTCTAGAAATGAATCTGATTCAGCTCCGCCAGGAAGAAAATTTCCATAGGTTGGCCTGTACCGGTAAGTTTCAGGGCCTCTCTCTTCAGATTCAGTTTCATTAAACATATCTGAGGATAGTCCATCTAAAATTAAATTGATTATATTTTTAAGTGTTTGTTTCTCAGGTGGTGTGGTTTTTACCCTTGTCTTCAAATCTAAAGAGTTCATATTTAATTCTGTTTGAATAGCTTTCAAAATAGTACTTGATACCTTCTTTGCCTGCATGTATAAAGCAGACTGAAGTGTGTCTGCGAAAACACGGGGACTTTCACATGCCAAGTCCATCTTACTGCTTTTTTCATTTCCATCATTAATGGAAACCATAGTTTCTAAACTTCCACTGGCAAACCCTTCCAGTTTAGCAAAAACCGTATTAAGAATATCTGAAGCCACAGCTTTCAGTTTATTTGAATGTACTTCTTTTGTACGCCCTGTTCTGGAAGACACAGACACTATAGTTTTTTCCTTGCTTTTGGTCATCTCTTTATTATCCTTCTGAACCATCCTGGAAATTATGCTGGAGATTATGTCAGTGCATTTGGTCATTTCCTCAATAATTGAAGCAAATGATAGGCTGTCAATATCAAGAGACTCTGAGACAGCTTTAACTCCAGAACTTACAACACTAGTATCCATGTCAACATTACATAATTTTGTAAGGATATATTCCAAAATTGTTGCAGAAATGAGCTGAATATTAGACTGCAGTTCAGTGGCTGTTTGCTGATGCTCCATGATCTTCTCTTCGTTTAGCTGACTACCAGATGGCTGACAGTGAGAGGGGGCTCCTATTAGCTTGCATAACATTTCATACAGTGTTTCCCCAATGCTGTCTAACACCTGCAGTCTGGAATTCTCTTTGGGATCTTCTCCATTAAAGACACTATGGAGAGCACATGGAGTAGATAAATATTTGTAAAAAGATTTTTTATCCTGCCTACTTGGCAAAATGTTCTGTTTATCAACATTGTCAGATCCATATGAAGTTGTAGGCTCTGGATTATCTGAAGGGAGTGAAATATCACTTTGATCTGAACGTCCACTTGATAACATTTCACAAATACAAGTTAATAATGGATATGCCATAATGTCATCATTTAGATTTGAGGCAACAGATTCTAATTCATCAGTGTCAGCAAAAAATCCTTTTTCTGTAAGGGATTTGGTGTGGTCTGTTTCCCTAAGATCTAGGTTTTTCTTATTGCATTTCAGTTCATTCTGGATAGCATGCAAAACAATGTTTACTACTTTTGTTGTGTAAGTACTAAGTTCAGATTGTAATGAAGACCGACCTGTAGATGAAGGTTTATAGCCCACTTGCAATTTTGGACAAACTAGTAACTTCAGCCTTTTAAAAACTGTATCAATGATCTTACCAATAACGTCACCTACAGGTTTAGGTTGAGTTTCTTCAGATTGTAACAGGGAAGGCTTTGTAGGATCTACATCAAGTGAAGATAAATATTTCATTTTCTTTTCACTGCCAAACCATATTTTTAGGGGCTTTTTATTTGGTGCTGCTTTGACCAGATGGAGAGTGTCAGAACTGTCGAGAATATTTTGATGAACTGATGATGAAATGGAACTTTTGGTGGTACTGGGAAAGCAGCTTGCCTTATGAAGTATATTTAACACAGCATCTGTTATTTCTTGAGCCACTGTACTAATTTCTGACACAGAAAACATCTGGGCCATCCATTCTTGATGCGATAGTCCTTGAGTTTTTTCTGAAACAGGAACTGAAGCTTCATTGTCAGTTTTACTGTCTAAGTGACCAGGATGAACAGAAGGTATGTCCTTGAGCATTTCTGTTAAAATACTTTTAACTATGTTTTCTGAAGCCTTTTGTATTTGATACTTTTGATCTTGGCTGAACAAAATTTCTTTATTCAAACAGGGCTTTTCTTTTAACATTTCTTTATTCTTAAAAGATGGTAGCTCAGCCTTTAACCTCTGATCACAGAATGCAACTTTGCTTCTCGGAGAAGTGGGCTTTGTAGGCAGTTTGCTATTTCTTTTGTATTCAAGACAAGTGTCACCTTTGGTAAACCAATGCGCAGGAATGTGTTCTTGTGATTTTGCTTGTTCATCTTTGAAAGAAGAAGCAAGCACATTTTCCACTATTTTATCTATTTCTTCATTATCATCTTCAGAATAAAGGACCATGCCGGGAACATTAATAGGTGGGAGTGGCCTTCCAGACCTAGAGCCAGTCGATAATCTAGTGCCAGTGAGTCTGTACTTTTCTTCAGTTTCAGAAGGATTTCTCAGTCTAGAGTGTCTACATTTTTGATCATCTACTTTTACTTGTTTCTGGTGTAGCTGAGTGAAGATATCGTCGAGTAGCTGAAGGAGTATTACTGTTTCGTCAGATGCAATAAGTCTCTCATTATTAAGTTCAGTTTGTACATATCCTAGTATGGTGCTGACTGCTTCCTCTATGTAGCCAGCTAAAGAGGACTGGGAAAAAATATCTGAAATTAAATTTTGTATTTCTTCTTTAACAGTTAAATTAGTTGCATCAGGTTCAGGATTACATTTCTCTTTGTTGATTTTTTTAAGGAACATACATCTTGGGTCTGTCATATTTTGCTGATGGGAAAGTTTAGTTGCATCTTCAAGATGAGGAAGTTCATTTTGTTTGTAAGATGCAAGAGTCATCAGTTTTTCTAAAATGGCATGCACCATATCCTCTGCAATATCACACATGGGTTCCACAGTGTAAGGCAGTGAGGCTGTTAAAACTTTTCCATTTGATGGAATGAGAGATTCTCCACTGGGTGTTAAGCCTGGTTTAATGTTGACTGACAAATCTTCTTGTGAAAACATCTGGACACGTTTTTTCTCGACTGCAGACTGTAGCTTCTCAAGCATATTTTCCACGATTTCTGAAGCTACTGAGCAGATATCAACATTGGAGACCAAGTCTCCTTTTTCAGGCTTACTTTGGTCAACAAAAACTTCGGCAGTAACGGAAGAAATAGAAGGAATGGCCTGTGTTAAATCAGATATTATTTCTTGAAAAATGCTTTCCAAAATCAATTCAGTTTCCCCCTTTAAGTGACACTTAAAGTTAACAAAAACATTTTCCAAATTCTTCATTTCATTCACGGTTTTTGCTTTTTGATCAGAAAGCAATGGACTCTCTAAGCCATTTGTTTCAGTGGTAGCATCCTTCAGTTTTTTTGTGCCTGTTTCAAATGATGCTAGGTGACTATCAGATTTACAACTTCTGAGCTTAGGGTAAGTAGATATTGTGCTGGTTTTATTATATTTGAGTTCAGATGTTACAGGTTGTCCTTTCACGTGATATGTTTTTCCCACAACTGTTCTTTCCACATTGGCAGATGGTGGTTTTAAAGGTGTGGCTGGTCGCCTTACTGATATGTCAACGGCACATGTGCAGGGCTCTCTCTGGAGTGTTTTAGTTGCTGCAGACGTGTAGCTTCCATATGTGAACTCTTCACTGCATGTGCTGCAGAAACTCGAACTGTCTGAAGAGAGGATGGAGTCATCTGACACTGGGTATGCTTTACTTTGCAACCTTTCTTCATACTTGGTGATGGCTGGGTACAATATACTGGTCACTGTAGCCACAACCCAGGTCATTATATTCTGAATTATGCTATTCAGTTCTTCAGACGTTACCTGGAAAAGAGGCAAGGAGTAATGGAAAAAAATCATGTAACAACTTTTATCTGTTCTGGGACAAAGGGTAACATTTTTTTTTTATGTCAAACAGTGCATAGCTTGATACCATCATGGTTATAAAGAGAACGTAGTAAAAGAAAAAACCTACTTAGAATTTCAAATTAATTTCAAGTTGGTTTATTCTGTACTATAGTAAAATATTTTATGTATACGTTTCCATTTAAATCTCATTCCCTGAGAAGATTTTTGTTTTGTGTTTTTTTGTACATTTATTGCTGGGATAAATGACTTTTTGGTAAAAAAAAGAAAAAAAAATCACCAAGTTGCTGTCAGTGCACATTAAATACATGTAGTTTGGCAAGAAGAAACACAGTATCTACAACCCAGCAAAGAATTTCTCAAAACAGATGTGGTCAAAACATTTGGGAGCCTTTAGAAGCATTTGTCTAGTAGCTAAGACGTATGGATGGAAAATAAGCCATCTCTCATCCTCCTTCCCTGCTGCAGAGGGTGAGTCTGTGTGTATATATGGAAGTAACTACACGTAATTGTTAAAAATTATTTGATAGGCAACAAAAAAGTTTATCCTTTATGGAGATTGAATGGCTCTGCATCCAGCAAAAAAGTGTCAATGCAAACTGCCTGAGATTGGAAGCCTGAGAAAAAATGATGCAATGAAGGAATAAATGAGTTTAGACAGAAAAGTCAGAGGAAGCCAGAACGGGGTCTCAAAATGTCAGGAGTGCTGGGCAAAGGTAAGTGTTGGAGAATTCCTCACTTTGAGCCAAAAATAAAAATCCAGGGACTAGATTTGAATGACCACTTCCTTAGTGGTCAGTGGTGCTATCCTGGATGTTTAAACTGGACCATGAGTAGAAACAGAATGCATCTGTTTCTATATACCTCTACTTATGTACTGAAAATATATTTTGGGCTTCAAAAATCCTCTTGCCTATAATAAACTAATAGTCCATTTTTAAACAGTTATTACTCTTAAGACATAAAAAGCAGCAAATACAAGTAACTGGCAGCAAAGCCTGGAAGGCTGCCATGCAGGGAAGAGAATAAGCAATAGGATTCTTGTAATGGGACTGTTCACACCCAAAATATTGTCTCAAGTTAGCAGAATCTTATTCCCATTTCAAGCCAACATTCAAAGAGAAGTTAACATCTATGTAGTATACTCTTTCCTGACACGTTTCAGTATTGTGGCACCCCAGGGAAAGCCATTTTATTCTGCTCTAACCACTGAATTTCCTGACGTTTTTTATTGTACAATGGCTAGTGGTTTGAAAACGTATTTTGGATGACATCATATTTCTGTAACACTTACATAATTACATCCAAAATCAAGTATTTTAAGAATAAAAACAAAGAAATTATTATAATCTACAACACATAAATTAAGACATTCGATATATTTCTTACTATCAGAGACAATAAACAGACTTACATTATTACTTATGCTAGGTATGAGAAAAAGATTCCAACCTTGACTTATGGTAGAAAGATATTCCTAGTTTCCTATGTAGTAAAATATGATAAATAGAACCTAGTTTGCAGTTATTTTCCATTATAATATTAAACTGAGAAATATTCCCTTGAATCAAATCTTTCATATTTACTACTTGTTCTATGAACTGAACTTTCATGTTGCTACAGGTTCTATAAATTGAGTCCACATGAAAAAATATGTTCTTAACCCCTTTCTCTTTCCTGACTGGTCTGACTAGATCCAGAGTGGGGCCTTACAAAAAATAAACCCTCTTATCTAACTGTTCCAAGTCTCAGCTCATAGGTAACCAGGTACCTTTTTATATGACCTTCTTAGGTAAGTAGGGCTCTTCCCATGAAAATGGCTAAAAACAAACCCAGGCACCTTAACTCAACAGTCAAGTCTGCAAAGTGATGTTGTGTAAATGGCTTCCCACGACAGAATGGGTTCGTGGTTCATTGATGCTATTCTTATAATGGCTGGGTCCCTTAAAGAACTCCCGCCCCCTGGCATCCCCTTGAGACCTCTTCCCGAAAGGCCAAACTTTAATCTTCTGATGAGTACTCCAGACAACTGCAAAGTTAAGAATTACCTGAAAGTAAACTTTAAAGAAGAAGGGAAAAGAGAGAGTAACATCAATAGATGATTAATCATAGACTTTTACTGTTATGACACATTAATATGCTGCTTTATCAATGCATTTTATGATACATACTTTTTCTTGCGAGCAAGTTTGTAGGACGTTCTGTTGTCTGTAAGGTCAAGAAACATTAATGATTTAGTTACTTAGAGTCAAAAATTTGTGTAACTTTTTCCAAAACTTCTAATCACTGCATCAGTTTCTTCTCTTTATATGAGAGTTTTTCTACAGAAATTCAAAAGAATAAACTTTTTTGTCCACCTCCCACCACCTATTTCTCTTCCCCCTTTGATACTGGCCCACATGCTTTATTAATCAGATTTGGTGGAACAGATGTGATGATTCCACAGTAAAGCCTTATGAAAGCTGGAGTTAAATCAGAATGAGAATAATGTGACTTGTATGATGGGCAGAGTCAGACTAGACAGTACTATTAGCCGTGTTTGTATTCTCATGTGATGTTAGGCTACCTGGGTGCAACTAAAGGTATTTTTCCCTTTCAGTTTAGGAGGAAATGGTGAAGAAGCTCTATGTAATGCATAGAGTCACTCAACTTTTTAAGCTAAGATTTTTAATGAAAGTAACTGAAGTATTTGCTGTGAAAGATTTAAGTGACTTTGTACTTCTATCATCTTGCGTGGAGAAAAATGAAGCAGCAACTAAGATTTTATTATTGGAACTTAAATGTCCATTGATGGATGACTGGATAAAGAAGTAGTGGTCTATATACATACAGCAGAATATTACTCGGCCATAAAAAAGAATGGAATAATGCCATTTGCAACAGTAAGGATGGACCTAGAGATTATCATAGTAAGTGAAGTAAGTCAGACAAAGACAAATATCATGTATCACTTCTATGTAGAATCTAAAAAATGACATGAATGAACTTATTTACAAAATAGAAAGACTCACAGACACAAAAAACAAACTTATGGTTACAAAGGGGGAGGGGTGAGGAGGGATAAATTGGGAGTTTGAGATTACCAAGATACAAACTACTATATACAGAATGGATAAAGAAGGTCCTACTATATAGCACAGGGAAATATATTCAGTAACTTGTAATGACCTATAATGAAAAAGAGCATGAAAAAATATGTATAACTGTATTATTACGCTGGACACTAGAAACTAACAACATTGTAAATTAACTGTGCTTCAATTAAAAAAAAGACTTTATAAAGATGCAGATATTTA